TTTCTGGCTCTAGATTAGCATGGATGTTTTTCTAGACTCCCCTTTGACTGTTTGGGGAAAAAGTTGGAAAAGAAGAGAAAATTATTATGCTTGGCATGCTTGGCATGTCTGCAGAGGGCGAGCATTAATTTGGACTCAGCCCAGCTGATCAATCTCCACCTTGGCTCTGTTACAGCACTGAGCGAGAGTGTTTGTATGTGACCAAGGCCACACATAACAGCTAAGCCAACCTCACCATTCTACAAGTAAAGCTCTCTGGATTAATTCCACATGGAAATTACCTTTTTTACACAGAGCCGAGGAGAAAAACAAAATCGGATTAGAGCATTAATTTGTGCGAAGGGGCTATGTGTCGGATCCATATGTTATGAAGTAAACAATTTTTTGAAACACTTCAGTTAAACTCCTCACTGTAAAATCTAGAGTCGGGCAGAGACCAGGTTCTTACACTAAAGCAGACGCAGTGTGATTTGCATAATATGCAAACATATGGAGGTGATTCCGATGGTGGTTTGGTGAAGTGTCAAAGAGCCTAGAACATTTCCCCTTTAAGGATTTCCTTTGGCATGGAGAGCACTTAACTGGCTTCTGTTGGAGGGTTTCGGTCGTAGGCATGGCAGCCTGAGTCCCCTCTGACTTCGTTCTGCTGTAAACCCACAGGAGAGGAAGCTGTAAAGTGTGTTTGTATTTATGTTGTAACGAGATTACTCCACGGTTTAATTCAGGAATTCCGACTATGAAATTTGTTGTATAATCACATCAAGCAAAGTCTCTCTCTCTCTCTCTCTCTCTTTTTTTTTTTTTTGTTTAACCGTTACTTTGGTATAGTGCCTTTACTGTTTGCGGTTTGGTTGGTGCCTTGTTGGCAAGCTCATTTAACTCTGTTCCCTTTTAAAACTATGAGTCAACTGCACAAATTGGTACCAGTACCTGCTGATGCTATAATGCCTCTGGATTTTTACCAAAATGCATTTTGGTGATATCTTTTTTTTAATTTTTTTAATATATTTTTTTCATTTTCAAATGCATCCGTCAAAGGCAAGGCTTTCAACCGACTGGAAAAACTCATTAAAACATGGATTTTTTTGAATTTCCTGTGCACACCAGAGTTCCCACTATCTCTCTATAAAGTCTATATAGTTTTTTTTTTTTTTTTTAGGTCTTGCTAAGTTTGATAATTATAGTTATCCATCTAGTTATTTTTTTCAGAAGCTCCACATCTGTAGGATAAGGTTATTCCACATCTGATATTCTATTGTGAAATGTTCCATTTACAAGTGTTGAAAATGACTAAGGATATGATACATTTTTCAATTTTTTTATTCCGTTAAAGAAGATGAAATACTGAAAAAGGACATTCCATGTCGTTGTGAACCTAAAAATTGGGGTAAAGCCTTGTTTTAATGATTCAAATCAGAGCTAACTTATTAGCAAAGGGTTCTAGACACTGTTCACTTTTTTTCGTTTTCTAAAGAGAGGAGAGGTTTTTGCCCTCATTTGGCTGTCGTACACATTTAAGCTTGAAGCAGGAGAAAGGGTAGCGGAAGAACTTCTTTACTACTCATTCTCCCTCAACAGAAATATATGCACTGTGTTTGGCATCTCATTAAAAATAACTTTAAACCACGGGAAAGGTGCAATGGTAAAATTTTAGGGGTTTACAAACCGCAAGCTATGAAAACTGCAGCATGTCTTAAATGGACAACTGGCCCATTCATAACTGTCAGATACTTAATTTTTTCAACAGACTTATTATTTTTTTTCTTTATACTACAGGGTTCTTAATATGGAAAGGTATTTAATTTAATTTGAGTATTTCCCAGGTTTGAAGTAACACAGCAAAACAAAATAATAAGAATGGGGGAAAAAGTTTACATATCCAGATTTAATTTCCCATCCCATCCAAATACTTTGTCCTTTCTTCTTTCCTCTATGTCCCTTCCTCCTTCATGTCTTAAGTCTTTTTAGTGTGTCAAACTTCCATTTATATCTGTCTGTCATACGTTAATGGTGAAAAAAACGGATAACTTTTCTAAAGAAATTCTCAGGAGACTGATCTGAGGTAATCATGCACTTACCCACATTTTGAGTACTCCAGGCATTACTTGTTTGCCTTCTTGCGTTATATAACTGTAGCTTTGACGTGCCCGCATTAAAGACTGACAACATTTCTGTGAGTGCTACGTGTGTGGTTACATATTTATCCTCTTCTGGGTGGCCAGGAGCTGGTGTCGCATATGGATTAACCGGGTAATAAGATGCATGTCCACATTGACTTGCCGTAGAGTAGACTGTAACGGCGTGTGAGCAAATGAGCAGTTCCACTCAGACGCAGCCGAAGGTCACATGGGAAACTAAACCTCAATATCTTCGATTTAATGATCCAGATTTTAACAGCCCACCTTTGACCAATTCTGCAGGAATGGATTTTAAAGTGAAGGATCACTGAGGAAGACGATGTCCTTTTCATGCCTCATTATGTTGAAAATTAAAGATGCATACTATCTGCAATGCTAGAAATATTCAACACTTTCTGTATGTGAGAGATCAGTTTCGTTTTGAATTGTGATACTTAAAACTTTTACCTTGACTTAACAGTCAAAAGGGAAATGCCAACATTTGTATTTGAAGATAAATTCACTTTTTTGTTGTTGATGTCTTAAAAAGTATAAACATATTGTTGCAGTGTGTTAGCTGTCACCAGGTATACTTGCTGAAGTGAAACATTGGCTGCCTAAAGACTTCTAGCTTGTCTTCTTCATTCATTGTCCTCAACCAAAGAGCATGATGCTGCCATCACTGTATTTCAATATGGTGCATTCTGGGTAATCTGCTGCATTAGCTTTTGTTCATAAAGGGTGTTTTTAATCAATGCTAACAGTTGAATATTGATCTCAACTTGCTACAGTTATCCATGTATCTTTTACAAGAACTGTTGTGTATTATTGAACAATATAGAACATAAAAACTTGACAAGTATCAGTTGTTAGAATAAGAAAAGGATAAAAACTTCCATCTGCTCAGTTTTGCTTGTGAAGTCTTAACTCCTAAAGGCCGTCAATTCTGGCTCGGGTTTCTTTTGACACAGAGATATATTTGTCGAGAAGAATTATTCCTTTATCTCTTCATACTAAGATAGGATTGTGTTTGGCTGGAGAAGTCATTGGGAAAAGGTGTCGGTGCTGCGAAGCTGTCAGGCTAAATGTCATCTGATTCAGATACGGCAATGTCGCCTTTAACTTATTACTGCTACCAAAGACACTTTTAGAATAGCGAGATTATCGCTGTGTGTACTATGGACCATACTGGTGTCTTTTCTTTGTATTTTGTGAATTTATGAGATGTCTTTTAACAAGCACGCATGAAAGCCAAACATCCTAACTGACAGACTGTGTGCTGAATCTACATTAACACCCTGTACGGGTTTCCTGATTTGTATTGTCCTGTCTGGAAAATATAATGCAATAATTTATACCTTGTCCCTGGCCATCCATCCATCTACTCATCGAGCCATCTATCTTTTCTTGAATGAATGATCGAGGGTTTAAGAATGCAAGATGTATCTTCTATCTTCTGTTAGTGGAACATTGTATTACTTCTGTTCCCTGTTTTGGAGCCCCGTTTAGGACTGAATGCAAATGTCCCAGCAGGCTTGTTGTGAGGCAGAGGTTAAACAGCTGAAAGCTGGGGTCAGACCTTTTACATCCGAGTTGAGTGAGCCATTTAAATGCATTGCCTGCTTGGACACAGAGACCAGGGGCGTGCAAGATAAGGAGAGTCCCTGACTACATTTTATTTAATAAATGACTCCACTTCTGCGTGAATATTTACAGACCCCTGCTATTTGTTTTGCTTTTTTTTTTTCATTCATGCAAATGAAAGCATTTTACTGCCATTTTCAAGATTACCATGAGAAAAATAACACACGTGCAATACAATTGTACATACTCCCATGAAGCATATTCCTACTGCCTGTTTAATTGCTAATATGCTCATCTGAGAGTGCATTGTAGCCCAGAAAAGGAACAGATGTGACATAATTCAATTTGCCTTTGCCAGATCAATTTATGAGATCCACCGCAAAGAAGCAGAATCTGTTCTGTTCACAGTAAAAAAATAAATAATTGAGCATAAAATAACATTTGATGAAATGATTGTTTCTAAAGACTTTTAAAAATCAGTTTTTTAAAAAATGAGAAAGAAAAGCGAAATATTTGCTCTCTGTGCCTGAACATTGAGCTTCTATTCATGCACTATTTGAGCAGAGTTATATATTAAGATCTGGATGTTAATGACATTGGGTAATTACTCCCTTTTGTGTGAACATGTGTTTTATTGTGCAGAAGAACAATAAATTTTAACTGACATGGTTAATTTAAGTATTTTTGGAAAACTTCTTATATGACAGCTTACAACTGCATGAAGACGTTTGGTTTGTATTTTTTACGTAGCGTTAAAGCCAGATTTGTGAAGTATACAACAAATGGGTAACAGACAGATTCTTTCATCTGAGTTGAGGAGTCCTGTGGCTCTTTCTCCCATTGCCTCTAAAGTAAAACAGCCAAAGAGCAGATTAAGGGAATACCAAGTGTGGGGAATTCCTTCCCAGATACCCAGCATGTGCGCAGTGTTGACCATTTTAAAGTCACGCCATTAAGTCCCTTTGATTCATTGGTTTGTCAGCGTCGTTTCGTTAAAGGATTAGATTGCTAATCCTTTTAGCTCTAAGCTGGTGACATGAAAATCTACCATTGCTTTTTATGGACAGAAGAACGTTGCGCCTCTCACTGGGATTGAACTCCTCCCATGTCATCCCTGGCTTGGCACATGCATGCATCAGTGGCCGGACTTCATAGTGCTGTGGCTGTATGAAGCATTCAGGGAACTGCTTTCTCAAAGGACTCCCCTGCAACTCCCACTGTGTGTACTGTCTGACTAGATTCTGCTTCAGATGGTGCAGATATACGGAGCTGAACCAGACTGCTTGTTTCTCTTTGCAGAATTTGCAGAGACGTTGACTGGAATGAAGGCTGGGATCGAAAATAGAGGAGCATCTCTGAAGTGAAGGCAGTTGGCAACCAAGGTGAGAAGCGTTTTCATTGTCATGGATGATTATTAAGGCTGAAGAAGTCACTGTTAAGCAAATTATTCTCCACTTTCCTGCAGATGCATTAGAGTGAACACAGATCATTTTAATGTGGGAGTTACACTGATAGTATACCAAAAAGCGACTGGCGCACAGGCAGGGCTGACGCTATTTTTTTTATTTTTATTTTTGAAGGTACTATGTTTACATTAAAAACCTACAATCGAATGTGATGCCCTCTGCATGTGGCAGCTTCGTCTTTCTTTTTGTTTGAAAGAAATAAAAAGCATAAATGTGTTAGAAATAATTCAGAGAAAGTTTAGTCAAAAAAAAATAATCCTGCAATAGTCCAAAAATCAATGCTGGTTAGAAGTCCAGCCTACACCCTCTTTGATCTAGGGTTACTTAATAATAGTGTAACAATCATATTGATTATAGTGAAATTCCTTAACTTCTTATATAGCAGGAAGTGACATAATTACAAAATTATTAATGAAAACAAAGCGAAGCAGGAAAATTGTGCTAGATCTGTTGTCTTGCAAAAACATATATCCCCCTTTAACACATTTTGTCAGATCACAGCCACACATTTTATCAGGATTTAAAAGTTTTATATTGCAAAACTTTTTATAAGTAAAAGTCTGAAGAGTGATGTGTGTAAACTTAACTTTTCAGCTTACATGTAAAGTACTTTGTGAGGCTGAAGATTTGTGAATGCCACATCCTTTATGCAACTCAAATTTGTGGCACCATCATGCTGTGGGAATACTCTTATTATAAAGGATTAAAAATCAATGATCAAATACTGCAAATTGGACATTTTCTGACCATTAGTAAGAGTTACCAACCATAGACCACATTTACGTTGATGAAGTGTAAAGGCACCAGTAAGGATCTTACAGAACAACTCTTGCTGGGCTTCAACTAGGAATGACTAGACTTTTGTCCATTTTTATACAAGATGTAAATGTTATTTAAAACTATACTTACTGCTCCCAGATGGATGTTTTAGCAAATTTCAGATTGAGCATTTCTCAGATAAATTGTAAAAATCCCAATGAGTTTTATAAATGCCTCTACAGGTTGTTGAATCATGGGGTGCACTTGTTTTTTTTTTTTGTACACGCAGTGATTCCATTATAGGTTAATTGTTATTTACCAATGAGTGACTTTTTTCCCAGGGTTTTTGCTCGCTTGAGATTGGATTTTCATTACATCCTGATAAGCAGCAACCTAGAAATAAAAGTGGATTTACTTTTTTTTTTTTTTTTTTTAACCATGACTGTACTTCATTGTTCTCTCCTATAATTGCATGCCCTTTGTTTTCTGGAAAAAAAGAAAAAAGAAAGTCGCTTTTGCTCTTTATTAAGTGTCCGCTGAAACATCAAACCTTTTTATGGTGTTGAAGGGCGAGAGATCGTTTGGTGCTGACAGGACTCTGAAAGTACACTTTGAGAGGAACGGGTTCTTCTCCGGTTAGTCTGCTGGCACCTGGCCACTCTGCATATTTCCCAGATCAGCATTCGCTGCAATCACCAAGATTACCTAAGAGCGTTATCTTGCAAAGTGTTGAACTTCTTAGCTTTGTCATCTTTATTAGCCACACGCTATCCTCAACTTCCTCACTTAGTTTTCCATTATGCTTTACAACATTCACAAAGTATAATTCTTTTTTTTTCTTTTCTTATGTTCTTTGTTTGCTCTGGATTTTGCATCATTATGTTTGGACTTTGAGTTTGCAGCAGAATAAATATTCCCAATATGTCTGCAGGATGGGGCAGAAAGTCCAGATCTGGTCCTCTGAGCTGTTGGTTTACTGACTGGAATGACTGGATGTAATTTAAAGATTAACTGACAGATTCTGGCAGCTGGAACTGATGTGATGTGATTACTGTGATTGTTTTCCCAGAGATTTAGAACTTGGTTATGTTCAGTGGAAAAAAAAAAACAAAGTTCAGACAGCCGCTGAGTGATGCTGAAGAGTGACGCTTGTTTTTAGAAACAGCTAATTTTGGAGAGAGCCTATTTTTTTCTTCTTTTATGCTTTCAGTGAGCTGGAAGAGATCATTTTATTTTGTGCAAGCAAATGTGAGTAAGTGTATTTTGAGATGTGCAAATTTTAGGTCTGGAAACAGATCATTTTTTGGTATACACTTTGGTTCAGAAGTACAAGGTATTTAAAAAAAACATTAATTAGGCTTAAGTTTAAATCTATTGTGGATCTTAAATATAGACATTCAGCTATATCTGGTTAAATATCTGTTTTCAAGTGCTTTTGATTATTCTGTGGCCACCAACAAGACCACTTTCCTTGGTAGAACTAGTAAAGTTAATTTGAACCGGTTGGTTTCAGTCAGTCTTGCTGTTGAAGGTCCACAAACTTTCAACAGCATTTAAGTCAGAGATTTGGGAAGCTCATCCCTGAAACTCCAAAGACAGATTAGTGTGTGGTTGTCATCACCTGGCTACGTCCCGAAGGTTAAAAGCAAAGTCTTAAATAGCTGAAGATGACTTTAGATAAGAGATGAAAGTTTCAGTTTAACTTTTATGTGCCAGGGATGGTAAAATTCCTCTTTTCCATTGAATGGACAAAACTTGGCTCCCTGTCAGTAAATAGGAGGCTTAGCAAAAAAACAATCATTCCTCAATAAGCACAGATTGGTGTGAGGTGCTCCCAGTATGGATAACTCTAAGTAAAAATGCCTGTTTCACAGTATTTCAGGTTAAAGTAAGTGACTGAGTGTGTAGAGTTATTGATGGGGAGGTAGATGGATGGTTTAATTGGTGGATTGATGGATTTTTTCAGTGGAGACTGGCATGGTGGCACTAGGTATGGATGGATTAATGGGTGGATGGAAGAGTGGGTTGATGATTGATGAGAAGTAGATCAATGAAATGAATGGATTGACTGATGAAATAATAGATTAGGATAGATGGATGGAGAGTTGGATCTATGTTTGTGTTGATGGGTGCGTTAATGGATCAATGGGCGAGGTAAAACAATTATGGTTTAATGAGTAGATTGATTGATATGATTGATAGGTAGTAGGTTGATGGGATGAGTGGTTTGATTTATAAACAGATGGGTTGATTGGTGGTTGGATGATTGGGTGAGTGGGTGGGATTAGGGATGGATGGAGTGGGTAGATGGCATGATAGGGAGTTGAGTGATTGGATTTAGTGATGTTTGAAAGTCAGATGTTGGGGAAAATATCTCACATTGCAAATTCTTCATATCAGTACCATCAGCTTTTTCTTATGTTTGTTTGCTAAAGGTGCATCTCATCCATAGTGTTGTTTTTTTGCAATCAGTTATGATATAGCAGTGATAAATTTTCTTTCTCTACATCATCTGACTAAAACAGGAAATATTTGATCAGTTTATTCCATACTGACACTAGTGGTCATGCGGTTTGACTGTCGCTTTACTGTAGTGTTGATACTCTAACCTCTCATGGTGCTTCAATCCCCCAAGGAGAAACTGAGCACAACCAGTTTGAAAATGAAAATGATGGTCACATTCGGACATCTGCTGCCGTCGGAATGTTCTCGGTCTAATTGTTAGTGGAGGTTTAATTTTCTATGGTGTTTTGATGATCAAATGCAAAGCAAATAAAAGCAGCTTCTGTCAGTGGACTGAGAGATCGTACGGACGGACATCAAACCCTCAGGTGGCACAAAGATCGCCTGTCCCTGTCCCATCTGTTATTCCCGTTGGGGAAAATCTCCTTCCTGCTCGGGATCACAAACACAGAAAGAGCATATGCCCATCTGGCCACACATTCCTGGCTGCAAATGCAAATACATACACACATGTAATCAAACTGACAAATATGCATAAACACAAGCGTGTACACCGACAAAATGCATGAAGCAAGCTGCCTGTTATAGTTGAACCTGTACATAAATCACTTTTGAACTGCATGTTTTGAATGTGTATTAGAAAAGGGGGATCAGAGCCAAGGGATGTATTGCTTCTGTTTTCTTCCAGTGTGACTCTCCACCTGGTTGGGTACACCCACCATATGCTTTTTATTTTTTTTTGATGCAAGTTTGAGTTTGATGGCTGATGAACTTTATGACAGATGATGCTGTGAGGAAGCGACACTGCGTGACATTTAAACAGATACTCTAAGCAGCCTGATGGATGTTTCTTTATGAATCCTGTCTCCTTCTCTGGAGATGACATTTAAACGTGCAGATTTTTTTTTGTCGATAATCGATAAACTAACCCAATAAGCTGTCTTGAAGCCCTCGGTTGTTCGGACAGAAAAGAGTTGCACCAATTTAGTTTTACTTGCCAATAAAGGCTGTGAGGGATTCAGTCGGACAATGCTGCAGAATGACATTTCAAGGAAGGGTAGTCTGGCCATATCCGGTAAAGTCGTTTCTATGTGAAGATGTTGGCAGATCGGATGCTCATTAGGTTTTCATGGTAAGGTTTGTTGGTGTGTAGCTGTAATATTGGTCTAGAGCAACCAAGGAAAGGAGCATGTGCTGTTTTATGAAACAGTGTGGTTTCTTGGACAGCTTTGTCATTCACAGAAGGATGTGGTTTTATGCCTCCTTTCAACAAAGTACAAAATGTTCCGGTTTTTAAAGCCGTCTCGCGGCTCTGTCATTTCACGAATTCATGTGCGATCATGTCTGCCTCTGTCCTAGAGGTGGGGTATGTGTTTGGTGTCGGAGGAAAAACTCAAAACCCACATTCAGGAGAAGTGCTATTGTTTGTGGTGTTGGCAGCATTTTGTAATGATTGGTGACATCTCGGTTCTGTTTTTTGAAATGCTGCCGTTTGGTTGATAAAAATTGACAAATGTTTGAATTTTACTTTTTTTTTGTTCTTCTTTCTTTTTTTTGTTCTTTTTTCATTTGCAAACTGATAACTGGGCATTTTTCTTCAGATTTTGTCCTTCAGAGTATCATTCGAAGGAGCGTTAATTACAGCGTTATTTAAGCTCAGCCCCAGGCCATCCTAATGCCACCATGTGGTGTGG